TTTTGGTGGTGGTGTTTTTTATTCCTGTAGTTGCTGGTGCTGGATGCCCTGATAAAGGGAGAGAGAAAAGTTGGAATTTATCACTGTGTTCATGCCTGTCCGTCAAATTAAGACCATAGTAGATTAAGTACTGTAGTGATGGTAAGCTCTGTAGATGATTGTTGGATTGGATTACACCCCTCTCCCTGTGTGTGTAAGTATAGTAAATTTGTATTGACAGACGCTTTCTAACCAAGCTTAACTGTATTAACAGCTGGGAAAATCTAGTTTCTTCTGTAGCCTTTGAGTACTTTTTTTATGCTGTATTGTATGACTAAAAGTTAAAGACAAACATTGCTTCTAGACTCTTTTTAATCAATCTAAGAAGGGTGATTATAATGCAGGTGGCCAGGACAGAATGAAACACAAACAATACTACTGTAAATGGCACAAATAATTGTATTGGTAGTTTGCCTTTCTGTGAGCAGCATCTTGTAGGTCCAGTTCAGCTTGCTTGCTTAGCTCTGTTGCAGCTGACCGAAACAGTGTTTACAAGTGTGAGTTACGTGGTAGGGTAGGGAGAGGACCTTCCACATGTCTTGGTTAGTATTGTGCTTCTGTACTCAAGCTGAGAAACAGCTCTGACCAGGATGAAAAGTCATGCAGCTGAGTAGGATTATAATTCTAAACTATGCAAACAACAGCAGTGAAACTGGGCTTATTAACTGGCTGATCGTATTTCTGGAATCACACTGCTGCGGTTAAAACTGGAGTTCCAGACAAGCCTGAGTAGCTCTACACTGTTTTTCCTCCCAGTCTTCCCCGTTTGACCTCCAGAAGACAATATAAATAAAAAGAAACCTCTCACATGTACCACGCTCTTGCCAGGAAAAGTGAAAGATCAAATTGTTATCTAAAACAAACTCCAGCGATGTGACAGCTGTTTACTGTTTCTTGATGTTTGCACAGTCTATGTGGCTTGGTGTTCATAGATGAAGTGCAGTTTCTCCAGCTTATGTTCCTGCCCTCTGTACTCAGTGGCTGGGCAGTGGGATTATCACGCTGATCCTAAGTAGGAAGGACTATGTGATCCAGGTGCTCCCGCTGTTCTTGATGCAGCTCACCAAGCGGGCAGGAAAATGATATATTTCTTCTTTCTGTATAATGTCCCAAAAGTTGTTGCTCAACCAGTAGAAGTAGTAGAAAATAACATAGCTTTAAGTAACATTAACTTTCCAAGGTAAAACTTGATTTATGATTTGCCAGGAATTAAAGATAGCAATTTTAAGCCAGCAGCCAGATGGCTTGGCAGTAGCCATGCCGTGTTACCGTGAATGCTGGGATCAAAAAAGGGGTGCTTTGGGATTTTTTCACATCTTTGCTTATCTCACAGTTGCTGTGCATAGATGTGTCTACAAGATTTCCAGAGTATTCTGAAATCCAAAAATCAACCCAGCTTTGTTACTGATAGAGTTCTATCGCAGATCCCCATAGAGAGTTCAGAAAGCTGGATACAGGGTTCACGAGAAGAATTTCTTGGACCAACTCCTAAATTTAGCACTGGAAGATGCAGCTGACCCTGACATAACTGGTGCTGCATAGCCGCTTTAAAGCTGAAGTAATGTCTGTTCCTCAGGCAGGCTGAAGCCATATCCCTGTGTTTTGTTTTTTTTCTTTTTTTGTATCCTGCCTGTTGCTTGGTGTAGATCTTTACATACTGTGATTTATAGAGCACTTCTTTTAAACAAGCAAATAATTTCTTTCTATCATAGACCATAAAAGCTAAATACCGGTCTGGGACTCTTATGAGAATAGGTGCTACAGTCTTGTAATTTGTAACACTCCTTTATGCCATTTTGCACGGCAGTTAGGAGATATCCACAGGATCTTTAACCGTGTCACTATTGACATTACCTGCTAGAACTCTTCAGAAGTAGGCCTTTCTTACAATGTTTAACGAATGAATGCTAATGCTTTGTATTCCAGATGGAAATGTCAGAAGATATTAATATGGAAGACTACCCCACTGAAATTCATGATTATCTTGCAGCATTTGAAAAATCTCTTGATTCTGTAGATGAGATGCTGAAGACAATGATGTCAGTGTCCAGGAGTGAGCTTCTCCAAAAGGTAAAGAATCTTCGATTTGATAACCTTTTTGTTATTAATACAAGAATACCTAGGAACCCGAACTGAAATAAGAGGGTCTGTTAGGCCAGCCACCGCACAGAGAAATAACAAATGCGACACTTCCTACCCTTGATAACTAATATTTGAAATTCTTACATTTCTAAGATATCCAGACCATCTTACATATTAAATAATGAAATATATGCCTTTCCAAGCTGAAAAGTGGTGATCTTACTAGTGAGTGATTTAGGTAGCGGACATTCTAGCTTATTCCTGACCTTCCTTTGAAGTGCATATGGAGTGCTCTTTCATAACGGAGAGGTTATTCACGTTTTTGTCTGAGACCTTTTCACAACGAACTTAATGGAATTTGGTATACCCAGAAGGGTGTAAAGGTGAATTGATAGCAGTGAGAATTGATCCAATTCTAGAAGTCTGGACTTGAAGAACCTGGTGCTTGAAAAACTGAGCTGTCTCCTCTAGCTATGTTGTAAGTGTAAGTCTGCAAAGTGTGGGTTTTTTTTTTTCAGAGTGTAAAGACAGAGCAAGGTACTGCCCAAAGACTTCAGATAAGCCTCTGTATCTTTTAAGATTTAAAGCCTACAATGTAATTTCTTTCTGTAGGGCAAGAAAAAGTCAGCACATGGGGGAACTTCTTTATCCTCTAAGGATTTCTAACACAAATAAATTATGAGGAAAACAGTCTTGACAACACCGATCTTTTGACAGTATCCATGTTAGAACTAGTGAGCTGTACAATGATGTTATCAGAGTTTCTGGAAATCCTATAGACTAAAATAATAAATTGACTTTGACAGTCAAGGCAAAAAAACCCTCATTACCTTTATTCTTCCTTTGCTTTACAGCCCTAAGTATTCCAGCATACGTTGAACCATCTACCATGTGTAGTGTTAATGTTCATTGATTGTCTGTAGCTTACTATATTCGCATTTGAGCTTAAGCAATCTTAAGACTTTTTTTCTTCCATTGATAGGAACAACTATTTTGAATTAAGTTTCTGTGGAAAAATAGGGACTTATTTCTGACTATGGGAACAGTAGCCTAAGAGCTACATGCCACAAGATTTTTGTGCTTTTGGCCATATGAGACTGTGGCATTTAAGATCAGATTGGGAAAATGACTTGTAGAGGAGAGAATGGTTCTGTGTTGGCATGGAAATAGGCATAGACATGGTCTCAGTGAACTTGTGGTGCAAAATCATGCTTGCTCAATGTGTATTTTTTTATGCATACAGTCACAATTATAAAATGTGTATATTACTAAAATATGTGCACATCTTGATTAAAAATGCAAATGTGGTGGGTTTTTCTTTTCATTCTAGTTAGACCCTCTTGAGCAAGCAAAGCTGGATTTGGTTTCGGTGTACACGTTAAATTCAATGTTCTGGGGTAAGTATGTGGTAGAAGGAAAAAGTAGTATTTATGATTGCCACTTGAACACCTTCTAGACAGCTGCAAGCATTAAATAATAATATTTCATAGCCAAATAATTAGACTCATAATTACTCTGAGGACCCGAATTATTGCTATCCATAGGGTAAATTGAAACACCAAAACAAAAATTGATATTTGCAAAAGCTGACTTTGCATGTGAGGATGTTTCGTTCTGTTCTTTCATGGCAACCTTTTATCTCCTTTTAAAGAAAGTTTAACCATGTTAGAGTTTTTTTATTTTAGCTTACAATATTTGATTATATTAGTTTGTCAGATACTTAACAGCACAGTTGACTCCAATTGTTATTAATGATTTTATGTGGAAACTACGGTTTTCCTGTGTGATTGATTGGATCCTCAGTAATGATGGCCTTCAGTTTCAAAAAAATCATGTGTTTTTCTTATAGTATACTTGGCTACTCAGGGGATCAATCCAAAGAAACATCCAGTGAAACAAGAACTGGTAAGATTCTTACACTGCATGCACTGCAATATCTTACTTGCACAGGACAGTTAACTCATATAGAAGCAAAAAAATGTTTGTATCTACGTTTAAAATTGATATGTTGCCATAATAGCACACATATGCTTCGTGGTGTTATATAATGTTCGTATGCCTTACTGGGCTCTCTAAATTAAGAAAGTCATATTTTTAGTTCCAAACAGTACTGTTTAAAGCAAAGCTGTAGTGTCTGCTGAAATTAGAAAAGAACAAGATGATGAATGGTGTCATCTTATCTTTTCTCCACCTTTGAGAATTGGATTCTGAACAGAGTAGCTTTTCACTTGTATCTATTAAATGGAAAAATGTTACATGTCTGATAATAATTTATAACTTCCAGTATGGCATTTTTTTCTTATAAATACTTGGAATAATGATAATCTCTGAAGCTGCCTTTTCTTACTTTTGTATGACTCTCAAAGTATTGCGTGGTTGATTTACTAGCAAAGACGGGAAAGAGCCCCCCTCCCCCTTCCAAGTTCTCCATTAATTCATTTTCTCAGCAGTAAAGAATCCAGTTCAGCAACAAAGCTAAAAGCTTTTTTGGCACCAGTTGTATGTGTATTGTCCAGTAATTCTGCATTAGTGACATATTTACAACCTATAATAAATCTTTTAGGTTTGTCTTTATATTCCATTTAGATGCATGACTACAGTATAGAAGGCCAGCTATCTTGAAAATTCTGCTGACTTAAAAATCAAATCTTTTAGCCTGAAGAAAAAATAGCAATCGAAACTTACAGCTACCCATTTTAATTCCTCTATAAATGAAAATACTAAATCTGGGCAATCGTAAAATACTTAGCTTAAATGTAATCCTTACATAACCAGTGGAACGGAAGATAGGACTGAAAAATGTGGAAAGCTAGCCTGAATAACAAGAATATGGCTATTTTTAATTTTATGAGGTTTTCAATAGTCTAGACTCTATCATATTAAAAAATTGATTGGTTAATATTTCATGAACGTTCAGTCAGTTTCTTGTTCCTCCTATATTACATAGTGTCTGAATATTGTGTTAATTTAGCAATACTAAAAAAAATAAATTTTATTTCTTCTGCTGTGGATATTTTATGCTGGTATTTTACTTTACAATTGCCAGTCATTTTAACTCTGAAGAATGAGTGAATTATCATAGCCTAGATTCTTATCCAGTTCTCTTCTCCTTTTACAAGTATCAATGTGAATGAATGCATATTTGTTCCTTTCAAGAGCATTGTAATGTTCTTACTCATGTGGAAGTAGAATAAAAGAAGACTGTTCTGTCATGATTGTCTTGTTTTTCGAATTGCTCTTCTTGTGTACATACAGGGAATACACGGGGATTCAAACTATATTAATAAAACTCACATTCAAGCTATCAGAGTTCATTTCTTTTGTCACGTTGATATTTGTCAGCTCCCTTTTCCCATGTTGATAGATGTAGGTTCACCATCTGTTCTCATTAGCCATCTCAGTCGCCAAAGAAGTATCACATTCTATCATGATTTCAGACCCTGTAAAGCTCTCCTCATTAAAGCTATGGTTTTGGTACAGAAAGAGTGGACAACTTTTTGACAAATCAGTTGCTTATAATGGTCACTGAAGAATTGAAGATCAGTTCTGTAGTGTAAGTCTTGTTAACTTTTGTTCTTGATTCAAAGAGCTGTCAATGGCTGCGTGAGAAATGTGTGGGTTACATAATATCAACACTTATTTGGTTAGCAGTATCCATAAATGTTCTGTTAATCCACATTTATAATTCGGGTATCAGGTATAGTGCTATATGTACGTGTATATACATGCTACCGTTGTTTGTATTACGGTAACATCTAAAGGCCCTGGGGTTGAAAGCCATGTTAAGCTAAATATGTAGACATGAAATCTATCAAACAAACTTCTATGTATTTTACAGAATTACTGTGTCTTCCCTAGTCAGTGAAGAGAAGCAGGCACTTAACAGAGGGTGATTCTCATCTTAGAGGGGTTTAGTTACCCTCTCAAAGTATTTTTCTTTATTGATTGCAGAAGTAGAAGAGGATGAGTAGGCACATAAATGAGATTGTTAAGCTGGGAGGGTATACGTAGGTGGGGCTGAACCCAAGCCATGCTTTGTTCAAAAAAAACCTTAAGACACCAGATGGCTATGATAGACCAAGATGGCAAGAAAGTATCCCCTTGCTTTATGGAACGGCAGTGGAAACAGGTTTTTTTTGGTATTAATGGTCATAAAAGGAACTTCTGGTACAGCTGGAAATTCATCAGGTTGCCTTCAATAGGTTCATTGATAAGCCCCCTTCACCATTTCAGGATCTTAACTGCAAGACTTCTGTGTAGTTGCATGTGTAATCTTGTAACATCTTTGATTTTGTGTAAGATGCCTTTTTGGCTTTGCTTAGACATGATGAATTCCTTTTTTTTTTTTTTTTTTGTAGGCAATAGTCAGGCAGTATAACTCATCTATAAATATGTTAAATATCTAAATATTATTTTACCATCTTCATATAGGCCAAACTCCAAGTTAAATTCAGTATTTTGTTTTCTAACTTTGCTTGCAAGAACAATTCTCATCTAACTGTAAATTAGATGCAGAGTCTTCCACCTCTGTAGGACTTTATGTTCCTATGACAGTGGATGTCATGCAGATATCAGGGTGGTGGTACCTGTGATGGAAAATGGTAGATATCTGTGATGGACAATCTGCTAAGGAGGAAGCCTCAAGTTTTCAAAGAGCCTGGTATATATGTGTAAATGATGCTGTATAAAATCATGATGTGTTTTTCTAGGTATTACAGTTATAGAAATGTACAGTGTTGGAGAGCTTCTAAGCGTTGATTTTATTTTAGCAGCAATCTTAGGAGAATGGTGTGAAATACAATTTTCCTTTTTTCTTTTTTCTTTTTTTTCCCACCCCCCTAGGAGAGGATAAGAACATACATGAACAAGGTCAAAGAAATAGCAGACAAGAAAAAGGCATCCAAACTTGATAAAGGAGCTGCTTCTAGATTTGTAAGAAGTGCACTCTGGGAACCAAAACCTGAAAATGAACTTACCTCCAAAACTCCTGCTAAAGGAAAAAAAAGAAAGATGGACTGAATCTTTGTTTTCCCCGATATAAATTAGAGACATCTAGAACTTATTTTGAAATGTGTTTTGCGTACTGCGTGCATCTTGCAGAGGTGCTCTATAGCAACATCTTAAGTTATACTTAAGAATTTTCACATGATTGTGTTTTGGCCACGTGTCACTGAGGTGGTTGCATTGTATGTATATCTGAAAGTGCCGTTTGATGCAAGAGAAGTAATATTTTGTTATTCAAGTGATAGTGACCTGACATACAGTTGCTGGTAATAGATGCTAGTGTTTTGCTTGTAATGCCTAAGAATTTTGTTGTTGTTGTGTTTTTTTTGTTTGTTTGTTTGTTTTTTACTGCTGGATGATTGACACTTTTTTATATGTCATTAATCTCCTGCATATTAAAAAGTCTCAAACAAAGCTACCGAGTCTGTGATGTTTATGAAAGAGCCATGTTTAATTTCTCATTACATCATTGTGTGAAATGCTGTATTTGTAGAG